TAGAGCATAATGATACATGGGTTTTAATGGATTTACCTAAAAATAAAAAGGCCATTAGGTGCAAATGGGTATTCACAGTGAAGGCTAATCCCGATGGGTCTATGGCTCAGTTAAAAGCTCGGTTGGTTGCTAAGGGTTATGCCCAGACGTATAGTATTGATTACTCTGAGACAATCTCCCTAGTGGCTAAAATGACCTTTGTCCGGCTATTCATCTCACTTGCAACTTCATATAGTTAACCTCTTCACCAACTTGACGTAAAAAATGCATTTTTACATGGTGATCTTCTTGAAGAGGTTTACATGGAGCAACCTCCGGGGTTTGTTGTTTAGGGGGAGTCAGGAATGGTATGCAAACTGAGGAAATCTTTATATGGCTTAAAATAATCTCCACGGGCTTGGTTTGGGAGGTTAAGCGAAGCGATGACTCAGTTTGGTTTACATAGGAGTGCTTATGATCATTTTGTCTTTTATAAGCAATCTAGTTTTGGCATCATTTTTTTGGTTGTTTATGTTGATGAAATTGTAATCACTGACAGTGATGATGTTGGCATTTAGAGTTTGAAAAACTTTTTGGCTTCCAAATTTCAGACAAAAGATTTGGGCATTTTAAAGTATTTTTCTGGGATTCAAGGTTTTTCGGATTAAGAAAGGGATTTTCCTCTCTCAACACAGTATGTGTTAGATCTGTTGACCGAAATAGGCCTAATTGAGGCTAAGCCTTGTGACACTCCTGTGGTTCCTAATGTGAGATTGAATGCTGAGGATGGAGAGATGTTTAGTGATCCAGAGAAATACAGACGGATAGTTGGAAAGTTGAACTACCTTACAGTAACCCGTCCAGATATTGCTTTTTCAGTGAGTGTGGTGAGTCAATTTATGTCATCTCCTAGGACATCTCATTGGGACGCGGTCCTTCACATTTTAAAGTATCTAAAAGGAGCCTCTGGACGTGGGATTCTTTACAGTGATCACGATCATGATAAGGTAGAAGGATTTTCAGATGCAGATTGGATAGGATACTCTGTGGATAGACGGTCTGTGACTGGGTTTTGTGTTTTTGTTGGAGGAAATCTTATCTCTTGGAAAAGTAAGAAACAACTAGTTGTAACTAGATCAAGTGCAGAGTCCAAGTATCGAGCTATGGCACAAGTTACTTGTGAGCTTATATGGACAAGACATCTTCTTAGAGAAATTGGGTTTGGTGATCTGGGGACTATGGACTTGTGGTGTGTCAACCAAGCAGCCATACATATAACAAACAATCCAATCTTTCACAAGCGGACTAAGCATATAAAAGTGGATTGTCACTTTGTGCGAGAGAAACTTGAACAAAAGCTAATTACTACTAATCATGTTAGAACAAGGGAACAACTAGCTGACATCGTTACGAAGTCTCTAGTTAGTAAAAAGGTAACCTATATTTGTAACAAGCTGGGCATGATAGATATATATACTCCAGCTTGAGGGGGAGTGTTGGAAACTATGTATATATGTAGTCAAGGGTATATATGTAATTGTAGTGTGTGTATATATTTGTTAGGCTGTACTGTTGAAAAAAATAGAAAATAGAAATTGAAAAATGCAAATATTGAAAACATGTTGCTCAAGGAAACTTGACTAAATTTAGATAAATTAACTGGCATCAAACTGGAACAGGACTGAACAATTGAACATTCAACCTATCCACCATTTCAGTAATTGTGGAGTGATATTAAATTGCCACAGAGCAAAAGGTTTGTCTGCATATCCTAGAATTAAATATTACCCTGGTACAAACTAAATTGAGTCTTTGATTGATGCATGTTATGCAGAAAGTAGATATAGTTAGTTTAGGGTTAACAAGCTTTCAATTTGCCCATCAAGTTTTAGTGTTAAGAGAAAATTTTTGAACCCTGTGGCAACTGGGAAACTATAGTCCCTGTAGCTCTGACCCAAATTTAAATTTAGCTCCATCTAGAGGTATTTTATATGTTCAATGTGTCTTTCAAGAGTCTTTGATACATTCCTTGGGATTTGGAGTGCATCTTTTATGTCTCCAATTAATTCATAGATTTCCATTACAAAATTTGGAATCTAATTCCAACGGGATAAGGAATTATCTCTAACTGTAAAATATAAATTACTATATGCTAATTATATCTTATTTAGGTCTAATTGATGGAATATCTGAACATGTTTTATTTGTGCAGTGGGATGGTTTTCAAGAGAAGTCTCTCCTTCACTGCTGCTAGTCTTGTTTTCCTTTTCAGAGATATGATTATGAATCAGAAAAAATGGGGACAGAACTCGTTACTAAGATACAGTACGAGAATATCACAGGAAAGTTAGAAATATTATCCAGCCAAAAAGATCAAGGAAAGAAAATAGTGGGACCAGCTTCAACATTCAAAAAAGTTTCCTCCCCATCACTGCCATAAAATTACACCATCCAAAAACACCACATCGAACAAGTGGGAACTAGCTTACAAGCTGCTCCAGTCACCCCCTTCAACAACATGCCAATAAGCCAGGGCTTCAACAACAGAATAAGGCATAACAAAATGTATCCCAAAGGTAATAAATATAAAAGACCAAGTCACAAATAATAGTTTCCCTGTGCTTTTTACAGATAGAGAACTAACTGAATATCACCAAATCTCTATTAATTTTTCTCAGCTGTAAGGGTGTCGTGCAAGCCATTAAGCAAACAAATAACGCTTGTCATCAAAAAAAGCATTACTCACTAGAATCAGTGGCATAGTTCATGAGATGATTTATGCCCCTTTCTCTTCTATAAATTTAATGTTGTTATCGATATTCAGTAAACTGATTAACTTGAAAGCTGAAATGACAAAAAAGAGCTCTTATGGTACCAGTGAGACAGAACTTACGATGACTTTAAAGCATGTAAGAAATCCTATGCTATATAAGCTACAATGTTGGATATGTATTAGTCCCTAGTAGAGTAAAAATATTAGTAATTTTGGTTTCACCTAAGAATTACAAATATGAGCAAGCACGATCAATACATTTGATTTTCACCACACACCTATGAAATTCTAAATAAATTAAAGTACTTGGCACTTAGATATCATGTAAATTTAGTAATCTATTCTTCTGACAGGATATATGACACAGCATAACAGAATTTAACCATATGAAAGAGCAGGAAGCAGATTCTCTATCAACCCTAACAGAATAATATCCAGAATCCCTAAAAAGATCCTCTGCCATAGATTTAGAATGAACTCTATATATTTTTACAAGGGAAAAGTGACTAGTATAGAACTTGTCATAGAGCTCAGTGTTTTCTCTTCTCCAATGTAACACAGCAATACAACTTTAAACAATATATTAAACTAATCATCATAACAGATTGATGGAAACTAAATTCTGTGATTCCTTTACAATGACTAAAACAATTCGTTGCTAAACTCGTACAAGCCACATAGGAAGAGGTATACAAGTTATGTGATATCAACCCACTTATCAACCTCCTAATATGATTTATAAACAAAGAATATGAGCCCTGGTAATTTTAATCAATTAGTGAAAGTAGAATTCATATCAGTACTAATTATTCATAGTTGCTGCGTTGCTTCCGTCAGATATAACTGTTGTCTCTACACACCCTTAATTAAGATTTAGTTGAGTTGAGTCGAATTATGTTCTTTGCATACACAAAACGCAAATAAAATTTGATTGACTCTTAACTGAAGCACGCAGATAGTGTTATGATATTTAAAAATGAAAGTCTTTCTATTGGGACTGGTACAGATAAATAAGCTAGCATCAAATGGTCACGGCAATCCACTGGTAACTTTGAATTCATGACCAAAATAATAGTAGATAACCTCTCATTAAATGTTCTTTATATTTGGTCAACAAGTATCAATCAACTAACATATGTTTTCTTGAATTCATTTTTGCATGATAAATAACTCAATCATGCATAAGATGAGCTAAACCATATTCAATAATTAAAGCAACTCTAATGGTATTGATACAAGATTGACCATCAGATACTATGATTCACGAAATTAAAGCAACTCAATCAGCTTGGTTTTGCACTTGATCCAAAAAGGGGCTGACACAAAGTAAATTATCATCATTTGAAAGTATTTCTATGACAAGTTATAAAGCAAGGGCTGGACTTGTGACAACCAAGCAATACTTCTATGAAGTCATGTGAGCAAGACAAACCCATAAACACCACCCATGAATTTGATAAAATTTTAGCAGACTGGCAAGAGAATCCTACATAGCACGACATATCATTTTAGAATACTTCTACCAAGTATTGTGAGCAAGACAAACCTAGAAATGCCACCCATGAATTTGATACCATTTTAGCAGACTGGCTAGAGAATCCTAAAATATAAGGTATTTGATTGTTAAACAGACTAGAAGAATTTTCTCAATAGATTTGAAGGCCCGACATTTAACAAAGCAGAGTCCTACCATAGAAAACACCCAAAATACATTCTTTGTTATATTAATCCTTCCTGATTTTATCCACCCTTGTTGGTCTGTATAAACAAACACAAATGTTCAGCACCTCAAGAGAAGAGTTCAAAATGTAGACAATGTTATTAACAAGTAGTCACATTCTCTTGAAAATTGACACCCAGCTGATTTTATTGAGAAGGAAACCTTTAGCAGCAGCCTAAGAAGATTATTTCATCTCTCTCCATTCAACAACAAATGATATTGGCCAGTTGGTCAGATTACAGAGAAGATCTAATTGCTAGCACCGATACTCATTGGAAGCTATTATTACTCTATAGTAGTGAAACTCATATTTACCAGAATAACAGACCATGACCAATATATGATGTACTCATCTTCTAGGATTTTTTATAAGTGAGCCGATATACAACTCAAGGATCCTACAAGCAGCTATTCATATTGACAAATAAGGTAACCCAAGATAAATTGAATGAGTGAGACAATGCAGCAAGGAGAAGAAAAAATTACACTGCAGCTTAATATTAACAGACGACAGAAGCATAGACATACCAGCTGAAATCTTGGAAGCTTGGCCATTTGCTCGCCCTTTTAAAACATCGGGATGAAAAAAAAAAAAAATAGATACTTTTCCAGGAAGTATTTTCTCTAGAATCCTGAAAGAAACAACATATGTGAGTAAACTTCCTCTGAAAAAATCAATGTGACCATGAATTAATCACCACTAACTGAGTTTTAGTGACTGGCTGACTGGAGTCCAGAAAAGAGCATTCTTCTTTAAAATTTGGAAGAACGCGACTATATACAGCTAATTAAACCAAATAATAATCAAATGAAGTAAAAAGAGTTGAGCTTAAATCAACGAGTGCTTATTAGATGTAGTGCGAAGAATGAAAAGGTTAATTGATGTAGGCTGGCATTGTGTATGTGTTTGAAAGGCAATAAAACAGTGAGACATGAAAATATAACAGGAAGATTGAAGGAAAGGCAGACCTTGATCAGGTAATTGAGTCGACAGAAGATGGTGAAGCTGAAGAGCAACTCACAAATTCAGAGATGGCTGCACTAATTACACGTCTCATTTTTCATTAGTTTTAACCATAAACTATTAAATAACATGTTTGATCGTGGACTTTCTTTCGGCTTACAATTGGAGTAGCCGAGTAGGTAGTGCTTTTTTCAAAAATAAAAAATAAAAAATAAAAACAAAAATATACAGATAAAAAAAAAGGACTACAGCCTGACCCACCCAAGAATAGTAGGTTATAGCCCAGCCCAAATTATGGGCCCGAAAAGGCCTATTTTTTTCCATTTACTTGAGCCCAATAAGTCTGACTTATTAGGCCCTTATTATTAGAAATAGAAAAGTGAATTTTAAGCCTCATCAAATTGTTCAATATTCTCCTTTTTTTTTTTTTTTTTTTAGTCTGACTTATTAGGCCCTTATTATTAGAAATAGAAAAGTGAATTTTAAGCCTCATCAAATTGTTCAATATTCTCCATTTTTTTTTGACAAGTTTAACATTAATGAAAATGATTAGGAATGACATAATAATTTCTAAATACACCATATATATATATATATTTGCCTTTGCTTTTAGAAAAATAATTTTGATAGGTGTAAAATGACTAAAATGAGTTTTTTCTTATTTAATAAGTTCCTTTAATTTTTTAAACTATATTAATAATCAGTTTTTAAATAAAAAATATTAAAATATTAAAAAACTACAAAATTGGTCAACGGAGTCATTGACTAACAACTATCAAAGGAGTGTTCGAAGACACTACGGTCACCATTGGGATCATNAAATATATATATATAAAATAATAAATTTGCCTTTGCTTTTAGAAAAATAAATTTGATAGGTGTAAAATGACTAAAATGAGTTTTTTCTTATTTAATAAGTTCCTTTAATTTTTAAACTATATTAATAATCAGTTTTTAAATAAAAAAATTTAAAATATTAAAAAACTACAAAATTGGTCAACGGAGTCATTGACTAACAACTATCAAAGGAGTGTTCGAAGACACTACGGTCACCATTGGGATCATTATAAGGCGATCTACACAATGGTGGCGAAGCCACAACCAACATCTATACCACTATTCTAACACTATCCTATTCCACTATTCTAACCAAAAAAAAGTGAAAAATTTGTTTGTTTTAATATTCTTTAAAGTCTAAGCATATTCTATTCAATTCAAAACATTAACAATTACCTCTCTCAATAAAAGTTTTAAAAGTAACAAAAACACCTCTACCCACCCAAGCCACTTTCACCCACCAGTAGCCACCGCTGTCGTCGCCGTAACGACGCAGGATCGGTTGGATCTAACCGATCGTGCGTCAATCTGTCCATTTTCGACTATTGACGACTAGATTTCTAGTTGTCGTTTGGCCATCAATGATGGTTAAGATATGGCCATCGTCAATGGCAAGATAGTTGGCTATAGATTTGGCTATTTCTGGCCAGATCCATGGTAGATCTGGTCGAAAATGGCCAAACCAATTCACAATCGGCCAAATCCAATCGATCATGTGTTATTTCAACGACTTCCAGCCAACGTCCAATTGTGATGGCCGATTACCGACAATTGTTAGGTGGGTGGGGGTGTTTTTGTTAATTTATAAATTTTTATTAGAGGACGGTGTTTAACTAAATTAACAAATGTAAGAGGTTAAAAAATAATAAAAAAATGTATCAAACACATTCTCGAAATCTTATCCTATTTAATTAAATCATATTCAAAATAGAATACTATTCTAATAAACAAAACAAACGAAGCCTACATTTTTTCTTTCTTAAGAAGAAGCTACAAAAGCCTTAAACTAACCCTAAATCAAACACTTCCCGAAGTTTTAGAAATTCATACAAAACAACTTTCATAGTTTACAATTTTTTTTAACAATCTAGCAAAAAAAAAGAAATGGTTTTTGATGAACTTTTGAAATGTTAGAGGGTTTATAAATTAAAATATCATAATTACTAAAAACTTTATGAATTTCAGAATATTAAAGAAAGTATTGATTAGAAAAGACATAAATATGCTTATAAGAAAAGGTAATAATAGATACAACACAGTAACTATCCCCTCAAACAAAACTATGACAAGAATAATTAAAACAAGCAAAAAAAATGTATGGAATATAAGAAAATTAAAAACATTAGATGAAAAAAACCATATCATGACATTCGCCATTAACCAAGATGAAGGTTCTTGGCAAGAGTTGGAAGGAAAGAGAATAGCCATTGGCAATTTGGCATGTTGCAAACTAAAAGTTAAAGTCCTATTAGTTGCAGAGTTTGAAAAAATTGCATCACGGTCCTCTATGTAAACCTGCATCTCGAAGAAATTCGTAGGATCAACACCAGATCCAAAAGGCTCTGAAGCTTCCAAGGACACTGAAAAAGAGGATTTAGAAACCTTGAATCCAGAAGTTCTTCCGAGCCCTTAGAAAAAAGATCAAGTCAAGAATTACACATAAAAATATGTGTAAATTTTGTTTGATATATGATATATATATATATGTTTATATCATAATCCATACTTAATCTAAAATGAACTGCAAAATATGTGTCAGATCGACGCTGATCATGACCTGCAAAAGCTTACACCATACTCTCCTTTATTATTTCTCTCAAATGAACAAATGGTTCTTCTCTTAGTTAATTAATTACCTCGATCTTGCAACCAGGTTTTCAGGTATGGCGTGAACATTATTAAAAGAGAACAACAATAATAATAATAAGACCAAGAAGAGTGAGAAAGAGTTTGTGAAATTTGCCATCTTACTTATAGCATAGCTGCAGGAAATTCAGAAAAGTGACAAAGTAATTAAAATTTCTCTGCAAAATTAGCCAAAAATTTTGTTGTTAGTAAGCATATGATTCAAAGTAATTAATAATGTTCATGAACCACAAATATTTCCAGCCATATATTAATCTTTAACTATATATTACTTCAGCCTTAAGACTTTCATTATTTTTCAATTGACGAAATATAAAGTATCATCATGCTATACCTTAAATGATACATATAGAGATTGTGTAGTTATTAACTTTAGGTGACAACTCATATTTTATCGCACTACATGTTAGGTGACAAAATATCTCTGTATACTTTAAGTGACGCACACAATTATTATGTTAACATTAACTTTATGCAACAAAAATGCATATTTCGTCGCGGTATACGTAAGCGAGTAAAATTCATATTTCGTTGCAGTATACGTTAGGCGACATAAACACACATCTCATCATGGTATAGTGTAGGCGACACAATACAACGTACATCGCTATTAACTTTAGGCGACGATAGCTAATATTTCATCGGTAAATAGTTTTAGCAATGAAAATGATATAGACGACAATTTTTTGGTTTATCGTCAAATTTAGCGACGAATTTTAACAAATCATTGCTTAAAATAAAACGCAACATGCCTACCGCGATGATCGTGATGACGATTTTCTTCCATCACTAAATATATACCACAATAATTTCTAGGTTTTTAGCAACGAAAAAATTCATAATTAAAGACTCTTTTTGTGGTAGTGTCATTTAGTCATTTACGCGTGTGTATATATATATTATATCTATCATATATAGATATATATATATATATTGTTGGCTAAGATATAATTAGTTTTATTCCTCAATCAAACTGATTGATGTGAAATTATGGTTTAAATACAGGTTGTTTAGTTTTAAAATTCCTCAACATTAATGTAATAAATTATATGTAATGTCAGTCCTTTTGATCGAGAGATATGGATATCAATTATACAACTGTTCATGATGTGGGATGGATATCCACACAGCATCCTAAACAGGTTTCATCAAATATCACTCCCTCTTTTATCTTTTCTGTGTGTCACATATTTTTGTCTAGTTAAAGCATATAATATGTCTCACCATTTTATATGACAGGAGAGCCAGAGAAAAGAATATCCTTTAAGGCGATAACATCAATGATTAATACTGTAATGAACGTGACAGATATTAAGTAAGCACGCAGTTTAAAATTACTTTATTAAATTTTATAAACCTCGTTACTCACTAGAAGGAGATCGATATACAACTTGTTAATAGAATTTAACCAGTTAATCAGGTCAATTCCTTGCTTAATTAATTAATTAACCTAATACATTCTACTTGTAGTAGGATATGGCAACTAATAAGAAAGATAAGCTTTAAGTTGGAAGAGTCCTCCTGTCTTAGTACTTGATGGCAAGGAAGAAAAGACGATGCAAACAATGGTTAATTCGTACGAACAAAACATTAAACTTAATTAAAGTTTAATTAGTCTTAATTTCTTGTTTAAGTCGTGGGCGAAAAAAGCTATGTTATAAAGAAGACTATTTCTCCATGGACTTCTTATAATAAGTTCAACCTTTTCTTCTACTGGGGGATATAAATATAATAAAAAAAATTTAACTACCCACATACAATTAAAGAATCAAGAAATTAATAGCCGGGAGCCACGCTGTTCTCTTCTTGCTGTATATATCTAAGTCTCTAGTCTTGGATATGCGGAGCATTAGTTTTTTCAAGGTTGGAAAGAAGCTTCCTCGTAAAGGGTCTTTATTTTTTTGTTGATGCGACGACGAGAGGAAAGCAACAAGCAAGAGAATTTAAGAGCACCGTGATTATTACTGCCGGTACTTAAATTAATAAACTTTGTTGTTTTTAACAAGACAGTCTACATCCTTTAGTAATAAGGCAGTATTGCATTGGAGAAATGGACATAATATTGAACGCGCTTTCAATTCGGAAGGTGGAAGGAACTATACGAAGATTGAATTCTTAATATATAATTGAAAATTATTGATTTTGTTACTGTACTCAATATCCAGATAGGCAACTCCTAAGACCTTGTTAGTGCTGATGAAATTAATAATCCTTTTTCTTTACTTCCAAAGGGTCAGAGTAAAAGGACAATAAGTGAGTCTTATAGCCGAACTTTGCTTTTTTTTGGAAGTAACCGCAATAACTATATTTAATTTGGGGCAATTATTAATTGAAGAATTACAACAAGTTAAAGTTGGCTATCATATACACAGAATAAGATCATTTCATTGGAGCCAAAGTATTTCTTTTTATTGTGCTTCGGGTGATTGATTAATGAATGTTGTTGTTGTTGAAATATTTGCATTAAGGCACTGACATTATTGGAACCCTTTTTCTTTGCAGTTATTAGTAGTAGATTATGTTATAAATTTACATGTTTAAGGGCAAACAAAGAGATAAAGGCAGAACATGTATTCCTATTCCTTCAAACGTTAGGGTATGGATATTGCTTGGACTTAATTAATTCTCATTTAATAAACTTTCGATTAATAGAACATAAAATACATTACGCGGAACGGTCAATGCTAAAATCCAAGGCCAATAACTGTATCGGCATTACCAAAATTGCCTGAATTCTAATAGTATTTTTCGCTAATACTTTTTGTTTCTTTTTCATTGTTTTTTTTTTTCCTTTACATTTAGAATATTATGTTATATTCTTTAGTGCTAGAGATAATTATATATGTAAATGGTATTTAATTTTATTACTTTAGATTAGGATAGAAAGATTGATGCATGAGATATTTGAAGGAGTAAATAGTTGGGCGTAAAAGCCAAAGTTGCAATTTGTCTTTGTATGCACAGGATGACTGATTGGAAGAGCAAGTTATTATATATTAATATTGTCAATGTTACTAAAATCCAACTGCTTGCAACTCAAATTTTGTAATATACCTCCACCTTAGCCCATCCCCTATTTAACCCATTTCCCCATTTCATTCCACATCATCTCTCTATCATCACCTATCTTAAATGTTACTAGTACCATGGCTACTGAGCTTGGCCTTCTTTCCTTGACCCAGGTTCAAAAATTAGTTCAGTCTCACCAAAATCAACCACAAAACCCTAACTTTTCTTCAGGTGCTAATTCTTGGATGTTGAACCCTAAGAAAGCTCCCCAAGAAGATGATGATTCATGGGAGGTTAGGGCGTTTGCAGAAGACACAGGTAATATCATGGGCACCACTTGGCCTCCAAGGTCTTACACTTGCACTTTTTGTAGAAGGGAATTTCGGTCAGCTCAAGCCCTAGGCGGCCACATGAATGTGCACCGCCGAGACCGTGCTCGCCTTCACCAAACGCAACCGGGTTCAATCAATATTCCCTCTTCATCATCTTCCACTTCCTCCTCGACTTTGATAATTCCAACTCAAGAGTTCGCTACAAACGGTGGATTATGTCTACTCTACCAATTACCTAACCCTAGTGGGGTTTTCACTCCCACAACCATGACTGCATGTGCTATTGATTCGCCATCTCCTCTTCTCTCTATCTCGCCGTATCCCTCCAACAACTTGATAGCGGCGCCATCGATAAATTTCCCAGTAACGCCGCAAGGGCTAAATTCTTCTCAATGCCACTCCAGCAAAGATCCCTCAGGCTCTATCGACAATAGCAATAATGTGAAGGAGAACAGCAACAACTACAACGATTCGGCCATTGAAGAGCTTGATCTAGAGCTTCGCCTAGGGCACAGACCAACACCATCGTAACAACAAATTAACAAGAAATTTTATTGTGTGAGTGTGATTTCTTTAATTGCAGTTTGAGGGAAAAGAGTGTCATTGATGTGTAAGATACGGTATAATTTTGATAGGCTTGTGTGAGATTTTTTTTTTTTTTTAAAGTAAACGCTTGATTATCTCATTAGTATATCTGTTTGTGTGATGGAAGGTGCTTGGAATTGGAGACGAAAGGAGTAGAAGAAAATTGAAACTTTCTTGAAATCTCCTTGTAATTAAATTCAAAGGAAAAAAAAAAATTATTTATTTTAAAAAGAAGAATTAATAAAAGAAGATTAGGGTTTGACTGAGACTGATGAAGTTATTAGCAGTGCAGTGTCATTTTCTGGTACAGATTTCTGATTAAAGAGTGTGTCTGGGCATACATTTCCGTGGGGATTATATTATATCTATCACGTATAATGCTAATGGAAAACACCTCCTGTTTATAGAAACTACAGAAATGCCGTTTTCTTCTTTGAAAGAAACTTCTCCTTTAAACATTTATAGCGAAAACCGATAAGGTCATTTACACCATTCTAGGAAAGGGTTCATAACAGCGTTAAATGCATCAGTATTCTTCAGAAAACCGTCCCTATTGTTCAAGCTCTACACACCCAGCAAGCTTCTTCATTTCAATTCGTTTATGAGCCCCAGATGAATCAATACTGTGTGTAATTTAATAGGAAAAAGAGAGAAATGAAAATAATGGAAGTGGCGTTTGATTTCAGAACGAACAAGAGACAGCCCATTCCTACCGTGGAAGTCCAAGGCTAAGTTCAGAAAAGAAAATTCTGTTCACACAAAGAGAGACAAAATTAGTTCATTATATCTCCTTGGGATTTGGGTACTTTGAGATGAACATAAATACAAAAGTTGTGGACGATAATAGAAGAGGTAATTCCAGCGATAGTGAGATGTCGATACAGGGGTCAATTGTATATAGATGATTGAATTGTACAGCTTTATTATGTTATATTTTATTAGAGACCATACTCTCAGACTCGTTATTTTTTCATTGTATGTTAATTGCACTTCAGATGGAAATGTGTATATAATAAAGTCCAAATTTACAAGAAAATTTGAGGCACTTTAATTAGGACTGTTTATTTATTTATTTTTTTATGAAATATGAAAATTAAGTTGTATATATAGTTTGATAATATCTTGATGACAACACATGTTGATTTTATTAAATCAATAAAGTTTAGCTAAAGTGAGTGTGATGAATTGATCAAACTTGAAGAAATGTATATTGTTGTGTGTGATTTTGCTGGAAGCTCGCAAAGTTGTAGTTCAACCCAGAATCAGCGTGACCCAGAACGAGCTCGACCTAGTTGAAATTCGACGCAGTGACCAACCTTGACAACTGTTCAACAGATCAGAGGATAAGCACTAATCTCTGATACTTCGGAGGAGATGAGATTGGCATTTGATAGCAACACAATCTTAGCGCACAATCACTGAAATCACGGGATTACATACCAAGTGTGATCGCAATTATGAATTTATCTCTCTTTCCTTTGTACAAACCTCGTATAAATACCTCATAAAACTATGAGGAAATGGTTAACAAATTATTCTAGGCAAGTACATATTTCTTGTCTACGTTAAGTTTTAACTTGCCAAATCATTATAAAACTTCTTTCGTGTTTTTTATTTTACTGCACTTTCATTATTCATTGCTGATTTTCAGTTAATCATGCACACATCTATTCCAAATCCACCAAGATCAATCGAATCTCTCTGGTTAGTGCGAATTTTCATATCAACATATATCTTGAATCTATTTTATTTAGTGAATATTTTTCACGAATTTCTATTAAATTTAAGAGGGTAGTCTTAATTTCTTCTCAAGCTTCTTTAATGTGTCCCTATATTTTTGTTGCTTTTGGATGAAATAAAAAGTCAAAATATATGTTTAAGAAGCTACTAGAACAGAAAATTCAGGGAAAAAAGAATGTTCGGATTTCGAATTTTAATTTAAGCTTGTATGATAATTAATAACATATTTCAATTTAATGGCATTGATTTTAACCCCATATGCACATATCTGGATTCCATAGATAAAATTTCATAAAGACAAGATTTTCAAGTCCAATAAAAACTTTCTTATCTAATATCCAATATTGTTAAGCTAATGCTAACATAACCTAAATCATGTCACGAAATTTCTCGTTTTAAGTGACATTTCATCTTACAATATTATTATTATATTGTCCATCACATTATTTCATTATTTATACAAAAATGACATATCCTAAAGAGAAATTTCGAATAATAATTACGATGTATAACGTTATGTTATTATTCATTCATTATTTAAGATAATTATATGGTAGTCAAATCCAATTTATAATCTGAAACTTTTGAACGAAATTCAACTTATAATAATTTATTCCTACAAAATTAATAAACATTGTTCATTATTAATTAAATTAATCTTTTTTTTAGTTATGTATGTGTAGAACTTAGTGGTTAATTAACTAATTATTTTTTAGGGTTTCTCAGTGATTTCAAGAATGTGTGTTTTCTTTTAAATTTCTGAAAGAAAAAAATATTGACTAATTGAAAAAACCCTTATGAAAACTGAATACAAAGTTGAAAAATATAACATTAAGCGAATTCAAAACATGTATTAATCATGGTGGGATAATAAATATGTCCAGGAGAAAGCTGGCGATCATAATGAAAAAAAAAAAAAGCATATAAAGCGATTGTTACAAAGATAACTCGGGACGAAGAGAAGAGAAGAGAAGGAATTACTTCTTGTTGTAGGATAAAAATTTAGAAGAAGCAAAACAAATAGTTTACAGAGGGTGGGACCAAGAAATCTAGTTGAGGTGCTGGGAGCACATATTTTAACTAAAAAGAAGGGATAACTTTGGATGTGATCCATGATAATAAAATCTTAGGAGCCACACTGCCTTGAAATTCCTCGAATGCCGATGCATCCTAGTTAGGAGGGAAGTGCAGTGGTCCCTCGTTACTGACATTGTAAAAAGTTTCAGCCTCCTCCCTCAACCTTTATTATTATATATCTACTCTACATATATGTTTACAGTTCACTTTCTTTTTCTTTTTGGGACTTATGTTCTTAATCAGAATAAACATATATCATCTCTTAATTAAAAATTAAATATATGAGGAGGGTTCTGGGTGATCCATGTTGAAGTTGTCAGATAATAAGTAATTATGTCTATAAGTGGCACAAAAATTAAAAGATGTTTGAATCCTTCTTTATTTGACTCCTATTTAATTCTACGTACGTTTTGATCAACCACCTAATAATAATGGTAAATATCTCTGCAGGCTATTCTATTATTACTTTAACATACCAATATCCAATCGGCTTCGTTTCAGATAATTTCAAATATTTATCATTGCTAAAATAATATGGGTATCGCTACATGTACACAAAAATCTTATAAAAATTTATATACAAAATGATATGACAAAAAATAAATAGAAGAATGAACACAAAAAGTTAAATTTATCATATTTACTCTTCCATTCATTTCTTGTAACATCGCTTTGTACAAAAATTATTGTAAGATTTTTTTGTTCCTTTAGTATTATTAAAATAATATATATTCAACTAATGTACAGAGAGGCATTAATGTGGTCAAGCTATAGGTCTTGAATGGAGGACCACGGCATGTAAATTACTTGATACTTGGTGGCTTGAAATGTTTGAGTTATTTAGTAATTTATCATAGTACTGATTGACAGCAAAAACACTGATGGCAATGATCCCAAGAGTCTGATCAGTTGCATGAAGTAGTCTGATGAAATTGTGAGAAGGGAAAAAGAGTGCAATACTGTGCTCAGAGAGTAAGAAAATGACTTGGAAGAAATGAGTTTAACGTTTGCATTTATTTGACTGGTGTGGTGGGGAATGTTTGTTTTATTTTTTTGTCTAAAGAGTAAAAAAAAAAAAAAAAAAAAAGATATCTGAGCATGCATCGCGGCTTTGCAAATAGAGAGCTGTATGTGCAGGCCTGATTAATCGTCCAAAAGAAAGGACATTAGGCGATCGATCGACTAGGCCTTTTTTGTTTAGTCGTACAGAAAAAGAGAGAGAAGAGATATACGAATTTAATAACTGCTAATGACTGTTCATCACCAAACTGCTGCCTTTCTTCATCTGATAAAAGTAAATTTTGTTTAAAGTTGACAGAAAACGTGGGGTTCCACAGATAAAAAGAATATGACTGTTATATTTGCGTAGCTATACATTAATGGAAGTTTCTAAGCTCTTTTTTTTTTAATAATTAGCTACTGTTTAGGAACTTCTCTTATTAGACTTTCTTTTCAGTTCTAGATCTCTTCTCTGCTGTGGCCGTGATAATTAATTATCATGTTAACACATTACAGTTCTTAGAGATGGCCGGCCCCTACCACATTCCACGTTGTGAACCCACCATTGGGCTCAAGTGTTTTTGGGTGTTAAGTAGAAGAAGAGAGCTTAAAGAGATTTTTTTTTTTTTTTTTTTTTTGGTAATCGTGTATCCAGGCCAGTCTATCAACTCCCTAAGTGTTTTTGGGTGTTAATATAAGAAAAGAACTTAAAGAGATTTTTTTTTTTTTTTTGGTAATAGTGTGTTCAGGTCAATTTGTATATACCTCAACTAATTTTTAAGATCCATTAAATACCTTACAAGCTCAAATGACCAGATAAACCACGATGTTATTACGATAGGTGATTCCAACGTTTGAACCTAAAAACTTAAGGCAAACTTCTTTGACAATCAAATCAACCTTTTGAGGTTAGCTGAAAGGTGTTTTACTATTAACTTCACAAGATCATTACAGTTAAGTCAAGTTGAATTTGTTTTGGCCATAGATGTTTTACTATTAACTTCACAAGATCATTACAGTTAAGTCAAGTTGAATTTGTTTTGGCCATAAAACTGTGTGGGGTTGGACACAAAACTAATAGTACGACATTATGATATTAAAAGTATAGAATTGAACATTAAGATGTCTGTTTTGGATAGTTAACGAGGTTTTAATGATGAAAAATGTTATTGCTTATATATTAAGACTATAATTCGTAACTTACGGCCATGGATTTCTGTCACAATTGACACAATGTTATTATAAACCCAAAAAGAAAAGTTGGTTGTTTCTAATTTTACAAATATAATTACCACTAGATTGTTTGATGGTAAAAGAGCAAAATAATCCAGCATAGGTTCCTAAGTTCAAGTCCTTCCAAGCACTAATAGGGGTGGTCACCGAAAAGATTTACCGGGTTATTCACTTCAAAATTTTAGGAAATTAGTTGAGATGCACGCAAATTAATTCGAACACCTTGGTCATGAAAAAAAAAATGATATGAATATAGATATACAGCAAGATGTTAATGCTGTTCACCTGTAACTTTATATTATTATTATTATATATATATATATACACATCAAGTCATCAATGAAGCAAAAAATCCTTTTTCTTTTATTTGAAATTGTTGATAGAGATCCAAACTAGGTTTTCCAAGAAATGCTCATCCACAAGGAGGAGTTGTCTGGGGGACACATTTCTTGTGACTGCCCTGGCCTTAGTTCTGAGAAGATATTTGTCATACTGAATCTATGTGACTTTCGCTTTGATAAAGTAATAAATAATATTCATTAAGTTATCATCAATATTTAACCTTACCCTGTCGTGGACCCCTGCAATATCCGTAGCTTGCAGAAGAGCCAGCTAATAAGAGTGAACATTTATAGGTCGTCTGAAATGATTTTAACTACTTGCCATTGCTAAATCAGAGAAAGCTTGGTCCCCTCCTCTCTCTTTCTCTCTCTTTCTTTCATGCCATGTTAATTTCAAGTTTTCAACCTCCATTGTTTACTATTTACTGCTCTTTCTTTGCATAAATTAATATATATATATATATAGAGAGAGAGAGAGAGAGAGAGAGAGAGAGAGATTTAACAAACAAAAACCCTAATTCATGATTTGATATGTATATATGTTAAATTAATTAAACCCTTTTGCTGCTAAGATGCAGATGCAACATCAGTGGTGAGTCATATCGACCAAGATTCGAATTAAGTTAAAAAGGGTAATCCGTGCGTGGTAAGATTGAGAAATATGAGGAATAGTCGTGGTCACTGCATGGGGCTCTTATTCCCATGTCTCAACCAAATCATTGCATGCCCCTTCTCTTATCTCCGTTTTCATCTGCATTTGCATGCAGGCCTTCGATTCCAGCCCTCCTCACCTCTGTTACATAACAATCTCTGTTACTAATAGTGACAGTTCCTCTAAATGCATGCTGCATATCCTCTCTCTCTCTCTCTCTCTCTCACACACACACACACATCTTTGCAATTTCAGAATTCCATGCTTATATTTAATTACAAATTTACTTTGATAATGGTTTCATCAGTCATATAATACCCTACTATACTAGAAAATAAAGTTTTCAATAAATATTCTCTCTAAATAATATTGGTGAAGGGAAGTGATATTCATATATACAAGGTAGGAACGTCTGAATCTAATAGTGAATAAATACATTATTGATCCAGTATGTTGTTGAATAACATTAAACTTTTCACTGAATATTTCGAACTTCGAACTGTGCAGATTAATGGTGAAAGTCTCGATCATGTCCCATGGGATAAGATGTAGTTAGGTGAATTGGTTGTTTCATTGAAAAGGATATCCCTTATACAATTAATTTTGCACATGCATTAGATAGATTTTTCAGCTTATTTCAGATTGTTATTATGTAAATTTTTTTGGTTTCGGCGGTGATGTGGGCTGTATAGTATACCCACAATGCCTTACTAGTTCATCTAACTTTCTTTAAAGTCTTGAACCTTCAACTCACTTAATTCAATTACATATGATCATTTTTCATCTGAGATATAAACTTTCTTTCATGCATATTAATTATTACTATACATATATTATACGTTTTAAAGATTTTTATGTCCTATTAATTTTATTGGAAATAAAAAAAATTGTAAAGTTTTGGATGCTACCTGACCTGATCAATCACTCAATAAATTAAGTTACACCTATCATTCGACTTCTTTGGGCATAAGGATGGATGTGAGTGCACTTGTATAAAATTTTGAAAAGACTTATAAGTGGATTTTGTTGCTTTGTTGACTTAACGTTGATGCATCACTTCAAGAAAATTCGTTATCTTACGATCATATATGTATAAAAGAAGGTGCATGTTAATGCTTGATTTTGATACCAACTATTTACACGTGTAAAATACTAAGTGGACTCAGAAATCACACGTAATATGGGAATATTAAGTTAAATAAGGGGTGAAGAGTAATATTTAAAGTGGTTCGGATGCTCTAAAGCGAATCCTACGTCCACTGCTATTGTATTAATAAGAGAGAGTAATCAGGTCGCGTTCAGCGAGCTGAGTTACAGTTTAGAGAGAGAGCTAGTTTAGCGTAAAATTAGCTAATCCCTACAAATGAGAGGGAAGACATCTATTTATAGTAAAAAAGTTCAAAGTAATGATTATAAAAACTGCAAGTGGGTAAGTGCCGTGCAAATCTTTTCTTTACGTCTCATTGATCACCTGCCCGAGGGATTTCCTCGATTAAAGTAGGGCTTTGACACGTGGGTGATCTCCAGTTACTTGTTGGCCTGACACTTACCTGCTGCACTAACAGGAGTCATGTCACTTGCGTTAGGCGCGACGTGGCTACATTTGGACGGCGCAGAACCCTTCTGAACTCTGACCATCCTTTACTGACTAGGCTCCACATCAGCCCTACTTTTTCCGACATAACAGTGTATTACAACTCAAAATTGTGTAAAAATACAAAATTATAATTACATGAAGTTTGTTAATTCAAACAACAAAACAAATAAATTAGTGGAAGAATGAAATTAAGGATATCTATGGGTTTAATTAGGGGTAAATCTATCACTTGATTTTTAATTAATTATAACATTTTCAAAAATAGTTTCATTAGCAATGAAAAACTAAAACCCTGTTTAGTAAATTTTGTTGAAAATAATTTAAATAATGTATTTTTTTATAATAATTATAGTACTTTATTTATATTTTTCAAAATTGCTTAAGAAAAAAAATAATAATTTATTACTTCTTTATAAAATGGAAGGATAATTTTTATAGGGTTGGGTTCTTTTAACTTAAATTTATGACTTAAATTGTTAACACAAATTTGCAACTGTTGATCCATGATAATCTAACAAGAGTAATGCTACAGTTACTGAAGGATGCGCACCGAATTCGTGGACTGAATGACGTGACACAATCCTGACCGTTTATTCATTATCAGTTAATATTAATCAACGGTCAGGATTTTGTCACGTCATTCGGTGCACAGATTCGGTGTGTATTTTCGGTGACTCTACCATTTTCCATCTAACAATTTAAAAATTGATGAGATGGCAATGAAAATAACTACTTCCATCTTTCATCTAATATCCGTTTGATTGCAATAAATCAATGGTCGTGAATTTGTGTTTTAATCTAAGTCATAAATTTAGGTAAAAAGATGTCATCCCATTTTTATATGAGTTAGTATCAATTGGGGAACATTTTTTAGAAATTATTGGAAAAGTATCCAAGTTTGAAAATAAATTAAAAAAAAAAACATTAACAATTTTAAATTTTATTTTCTTTGCTTAGGTTTTTTAATATTTTTAATTTTATTATTAAATTTAGGGTTCTTATAGCAAACTCCCATGTGTTTGACCTTTTTTTCGTAACACCCTCTGATCATGTGTATGGCCTTTTTTGTAGTGAGCATCCGCTAGTTTTGAAAATTCCATCCTAACCTCCATTTTTTAAGGAAATGACATTTTTATTATTCACCTAAATTCAATTTATTTAACATTAGAAATATGTTAGTAATGTTGAGAGGTTAATATATTTATTTAGAGATTAAATTGTTTATAAATTTGAAGGTTGAATTAAAGACATTTTCCGAAACCAGCGGGTGTTCACTACAAAAAAATGTTAAATAGACTGGGTTTTATATTTCCAAAACTAACAGGTTCTTATTAAAAGGCCAAACATATAGGGGTTAAGGTCACATTTCTAAAACTAGCAAATACTTGCTGCAAAAAGAACAAACACACGGGCTTACTAAAAAACCTAAAATTTAATGGTAAATTACTTTTTTTTTTTTACTAAATTTCAAAATTTTTATTCATTTACAGTAACTTTTAATATATAATATATCTATTGATATTTTTGAAAACAAATTTCCTAAATATTCTAGGGTCCATTTGGTTTGTTATTTTGGGTATGATTTTGGAAATAATATTTAGTAGTTAAATATGGTGATTATTACGAGGTAAAATTTAAAAATTAACAAAAAAACCCCATAGGTTTGTTAATTTAACTAAACACCCCAATATATAAAATTTTTGTAAAATGGCAAAAACAGTTACACCCACCCACAGTGTCAAATTCCAGCCACCACTGCTAGAATCTGGCGTGACGACGCAGACCGGTCGGATCTGGCTGGTCGTGCATCGACCTAGCATTTTCTGGCCAGATCCACTATAGCTGTCTTTGTCGATCAACGACAACCATATCTGGCCTTTTCTAGGCTTTTCCGGTGGATCTGGCTGGAAAAGGCCATATCGGTGAATTACTGGCTAGTTCCGGTCGTTTGTATGCCATTGTGACAAATTCTGGCTACCACCGACGGTGGTTGCCAGAATCTGCAATTATGGGTGTGTGGGGGTATTTTTGTTAATTTTAAAACTTTTTTCTGGGGGTGTTTAATTAAATTAATAAACTTAAAGGATCTAAAAGTAATTAAATATAATACAATAGTATTTTCTGAATAATTAAATAAACAGATATTTTGAGAATATGATTGAGAATAAGCTATGAAATAATAAACCAAACGGACCCTAAAAACCCGTCAAATCAAATCGGGCCTAGGCGGCCTAAGCCTAAACCATGAAGCCCATCACCCTCGAATCCACTCCTTTCGAATCAGTTAATAGCAAAAGCATAATAGAATTTCTTTGTAAGTAAAAACTACCTGCGGCTCTCGAATCCACTCGTAACCTCAACCAAACGAATCCACTGCAGCGTAAATCTTGTTCAATTCTCTGATATTCTTGAAAACCATTTTTCTAAATATTCTAAAAACCCGTCAAATCAAATCGGGCTTAAACCCTGAAACCCATCACCCTCGAATCCATTCCTTTCCAATCCGTTAATAGCAAAAACATAGTAGACTTTATTCGAAGTAAAAACTACCTGCGACTCTCGAATCCACTTGTAATCCTCAACCAAACCAATCCATTGTAGCGTAAATCTTGTTCAATTCTCTGACTCTGCCAATGGCTTCCCAACAAGTTAAAGAAAGTCTGGGCACTCTGAACAAGGACTCCTTCGTTGCTCTCCTCACCAACCTCATTGGAGAGTCCAAGTTCGTCCAAAACAACCCACCGGATTTGATCCCAGAAGAGGACAGAGTGGTAAAGCATGTGCTAGATGTTCTTCTTCCCTACAGCACCACTAATGGAGGAGGACCCTTGCTTATTAACCACGTGACGTATTTTCCCGGTAGAGGAAATCTTATTGTGGAGTATCCTGGAACCGAGCCCGGAAAGATCTTGTCTTTTGTTGGCATGCACATGGATGTTGTCACTGCTAATCCTAACGATTGGGTTTGTCCTTTTTTTTTTTTTTTTTTGCTTTTGATCTCTCGTTTCTGTCGCAGAATTGTGGGTTTGGTTTGGATTGGTCTCTGCAGGGTTGTTTATATATCAAAATGGTTTTTCTAGTTTGAAATTTCTTGTGGGGAATTTAGATTTTGGTTTTAAAGTCTGAATAGAGGATTTTGTTGTAGTTATGTAGGAGTTAAATAGGTTGCTGATGATTATGGATCATATGATAATTGTATGAGCAGGAATTTGATCCTTTTACATTGAGCATTGATGGGGAAAAACTTCGCGGCCGTGGCACTACTGATTGTTTGGGACATGTTGCCCTAGTGACTGAGCTAATGAGGAGGTTGGGGGAGACCAAGCCGAAATTGAAGTCGACTGTGGTGGCGGTCTTCATAGCTAATGAAGAGAATTCTGCCATAACAGGGGTGGGTGTGGATGCACTCGTGAAAGATGGGCTTCTCGATAAGCTGAAGGGAGGTCCTCTGTAAGTAATTGACCAGGAGATAAATTGAGCTATTTTATATGAAGCATATCATGGAACTCCCATAATAAATATGAAGCATCATGTTATAAATCTTACCTTTTTTTTTGTGTGTGTGTGTGTGTGTGTGTGTGTGTGTGGAGGTGAGAAGGGTGGGAGGTACTAAAGGTTGTTTGTCTGGTATGATTTTCTGTTGACAGTTACTGGATTGACACAGCAGATAAACAACCTTGCATTGGTACTGGAGGTATTATACCTTGGAAACTTCATGTGACTGGGAAGCTTTTTCACAGTGGTCTACCACATAAGGTATGCCTATATAATGTTGTCTACAGTTATCTTCTGACTTGCTTCCGTTGAAGGAAATTGTTTTAACATTCTGAAAGAGGGAGGAATAGGCAACATACTCATGCGCACAGAGTTGGAAAGCACTTCCCTTTTTCGATTTTTAAAGAAAATGAAAATTGAAATGGGGAGAGATCACATAATAAGTCAGTGTATGCAAAAAGTATTTTAGAGAATTACCATTTTAAAATTCTGTTCTTGGTTGAAGCTCTTTGAGTGGTGCTTTTAATTGACTCTGAAGAAAGTGATGTTAGTGAAAACAAAATCAGAAACGATATGATCATTATGTATCATCTATGAATTATGGTTGTCATTGGACATCTGCAGGCTATAAATCCTTTGGAGCTGACCATGGAGGCTCTTAAAGAAATCCAAACACGATTTTACAGAGACTTTCCACCTCACCCAGAGGAGCAGGTCTATGGATTTGCAACACCATCAACCATGAAACCAACCCAATGGAATTGTGAGTTGGAACTTTAAAGTAATAAGCTATTGGAGGAAAGAAAAATGGTTTTATTTATGAAGCTTATGTTCTTTATTACAGATCCAGGAGGTGGTATCAATCAAATTCCTTTTGAGTGTACAGTATCAGGAGATGTCAGGTTTATAATTTAGTCAAATTCTTTTTTATTGAAGAGGCCATTGATATACAAGGATGTCTCACAAGAGTTTTTTTTTTTCTCTTTGGACATGCAGGTTGACTCCTTTCTACAAGTAAGTCAGTGCCTTTTGTTCTTGGAATTAGAATATTAGTTTTATTTTTGTTCTTTCAAGTTATTTAATCTGAAAAAATCCAAGCTTTTTGCTTTTCTAATAAGATAAGTAGGTAGTAGTTTATGATGTTCAATGCTTTGATACTTTTTGCAGTGTAAAAGATGTGACGGAGAAACTACAAGAATATGTGGATGACATAAACAAGAACATAGAGAAGCTGGATACAAGGGGACCAGTTTCAAAATATGCTCTACATGATGAAAACATTAGAGGAAGGTGTGTCCTGTATATGATCAAACTCTCTTAGGAGCCTTTTTGGATCTATAATTTAGCTGCAGTTTTTTCTGGATATTTGCATACCGTTGTTTAGAAAATACTTTTTGGTGTGGATATTTTTCTTCTATATATATACATGTCTAAGTTTACCTTATACCATGATACTATGAAGGAGTGAATGAGCTTCTTTTTGCAGCCTTACATTAACTTTTGACGAGGCAAATGCTGGAGTTGCTTGTAATCTTGATTCTAGGGGCTTTCATGTGCTCTGCAAGGCAACTGAAGAGGCAGTTGGACATGTAAAACCTTATTCAATCACTGGGAGTTTGCCACTCATTCGAGAACTGCAAGTGAGAGATTTATAATTTTCTGTCCATTTACTTTGCTAGATTGGCATTTCGTTATTTAATTTTGAACTTTTTATTTTTTTGTTTAGGATGAAGGCTTTGATGTTCAAACTGCAGGCTATGGTATGATATTATTACTACTTTTTGGCAGTTTGCATTCATTTTAATAACTTCTTGTAGGAAAAAACATAGACCATAGTTTTTGGATCATGCCTAAGTATGATTATTTATAGTTGCAACTTGGTGTGTTGTAATCGTGCTATTATGTCCAAGTAGTGAAAATTAGATCCATTGTGTGCTATACTAGTCTAGATAGTCATATCGTGATTCCTTTCTTTACTATTCTTTCCATGCATTTAATCAGGGAAGATTTTATCAGATTTGGAATTTTACTATAATGAGGTCACTTGTGTTGTAAATTGAGGAGTTATAGATAGTTTGTGTGGATATAAAAGGGAGGGATGGGATTCAGTATGCTTGTAGCCAGTTTTAACTACTTATAATTGGGGTTAGAAAGAGGAATCCTTGTAGTCTGCCAGGGAGCCTATCTGTGGATGAGCTAGCATATCGTTTCATCTTTTCTTAAAATGATAAAGCTTTCCAGTTCATACATACAAATTAAACTCATTAAAAGTAAACAGTGGAAGTGAGAATCTAAAAGATAGAGGCTTTTATTAGCTACTTCAGTTAATTTTCCTTGTATAGTTCGGAAAACAACTCAAAACTTATTGTTGACAGGGAAGACAAAAGACTGAATGGAATAATTTTATTGTCTTAATTCTGAAAGTTACAAGGCAGCCTATTTATGCAAGAATTCTAAAACAGGAATATTCTAAACTAGGAAAATAAAAGCCTATTTGCAGCCCTAATTACAGCCTTAATTAAGACAAATATACAATAAAGGAAAAAAACTCTAAATTAACGTAATATTGTCAACACGTATTTTACTCTGGTTCAGTAGGAGTGTGTATTTGAATGGAACTCCAGACTTTGATAAAAAATCTTACTCCAATTTTACTCTAGTATTGTTTTAAAAGCCAGATTACTATGGGGATTTCTTGGGTTGTAAAATGCAAATTTTGATAAAGAACAATGACTGAAATAAAATGTTACAAACATTGTGTGAGGAATTGTTTAAAAAAAAAACTAAAATTCTCATTGATTGGGAATCATTTTGCATCAAAGTGTAATATATCAAGTGAAGGTATGCAGCATATGTCAACATATCACATACAAGATATTGATGATGGTAGTCACTGATCTACTCATTACATGAGCCTTATAGTGAAGGTTCATGCTCTCTTGTGTAATAATTAATTGGATTGTTATCATGANGGGAACTCCAGACTTTGATAAAAAATCTTACTCCAATTTTACCCTAGTATTGTTTTAAAAGCCAGATTACTATGGGGATTTCTTGGGTTGTAAAATGGAAATTTTGATAACGAACAATGACTGAAATAAAATGTTACAAACATTGTGTGAGGAATTGTTTAAAAAAAAAAAACTAAAATTCTCATTGATTGGGAATCATTTTGCATCAAAGTGTAATATATCAAGTGAAGGTACGCAGCATATGTCAACATATCACATACAAGATATTGATGATGGTAGTCACTGATCTACTCATTACATGAGCCTTATAGTGAAGGTTCATGCTCTCTTGTGTATTAATTAATTGGATTGTTATCATGATGGGAATATTATAAGAAAGTTTATGCAATGACAAATAAAGTATAGATAGAAGAAGTAATAGGGAAAGAATCTCAACAGATTAGAAGGATAAGTTTATAGAGTAGAGCGGAGGGAGCGAAATATAAATAAGAATAGTAGGATAGAACCAGAAGATAGCAAGAGTAAGATGAAAGTTAAACTATAGTATGAATTTGTAGAACCATTAGAAGAGCAAAAGGAAAGAGAGGAAAGAGGAAGGGAAGACAGGAAAGACCGACAAGAGAAAGAAAAGAGAAGAAAATTTGCTTCAATGTATTTCTTGAAGTCAATCTTGCTGTCCCAAAAACACTACACTAAAACCTGATAAAACCAAAATGTAAAGGGACGTTGGTCCGGTTAAAACATAAGACAAGATAAATCTATTTCGACAGAGAAATTGAATAAATTAATTCAAATAATATTTCAGAATCCCTATAATTGATTAATTATCCAAAAAGAAATAGCAACTGCTGATAAGCCCTGAATTAATGCTTTAAGATAACCATCACATTTGGCCTAAGCTAATGATACATCAAACCTATGTCCCTCTGTTCTAATATCCTTCATCAAGCAATTTGAGACATAAACTTGAACCATTTTTTTCTAGATGCAAAAATTTTAGGGTTCTGCTGGGAGGGAAGAAATATAGATACAAGAAATATGACTGGAAAGAGAAGAAAAAAGAGAAAATTGTCAGACAATAACAATAGATATTGAGAGTGTGGAGAAGACACACTCTTAACAGAATCCTCTCTACTTTACTGTCAAGCTTGTTGTAATTGTATGGTGGACTGACAATGAAGATAGCTATTAAAAGGGTTTCATTTTGTAAGATCAAGTTTGAATTTTGAATTTATCTTCTCTCTCTTTGAGAGAATACTATGTTCAAGTAGTAAACTTCCTGTTCTTTCTTCTTGGGAGTAGTGACTCCATGATCTAGACAAAGTTGTGGCATGTGTAGGGAGAAATATGCTGGAGCCTTTATGAACCATAATCTAATTTTTTCATGTAGTAGAATGGTAATTTGGGGTATAGGCTTGTACACAGTGTTTGAAGATCTATTCAAGAATGTTTGAGCCAAAAGTAACAACCATGGACACTCTGCCTTTTAATTGTTAGTTTGTCTTCTGTGTTTTTACAATTCTGTTTCAACAGAATGCAACTTTTTGATTTATGAATGATTTCTTTGTTTTTATATTCACCTTATCTCAAAAAATAAATTATTTGGTGAAGAGAGAATAATAGGGCAAGTTATGGAAGTTAATCAATATTTGTTTATTAATTTTGTGTTGCATGCATATGCAGGTTTAATGGCAACATACCATGCCAAGAACGAGTATTGTCTTCTATCTGATATGGGTCAAGGTTACCAGGTTTTTGTCAGCATCATCTCCCAACTAGAAGATTGACGCAATGAAATGAAAATAGCCGGTGATGTTACAACCATATTACAGCCCATAAACATGTTTTCTACAAACATAAAAGATCAGATATATAACTGATGATGTGAAACCAAGTTTCCGGCTTAATAAAATTTTGGTTGTTATTTATGATCTGCAATTGTTAATGTAGTTTGTCTTGATCTTTTTCAACACATTGAAACAGTGGATTAATGGTATCAGGAGGTGACTAGTATAAACAATGCATACATACATGTGCTGAAAATTTAAGTTGCCGTATAAACGGTGTGTTACGTAAATTGTAGTTGAAACGTTTGTCAAAATTTCCATCTGATTTTCTAGTTATCTTGTGATGGTGGGAAAGGAAAGAGAAGTAGTAGTTAAATTGGTTTGCACACTTACGTGTAGTGAGGGGAATGGATTAATTAGGTGTAATATGCAAATCAACAATAGTAAAAGGAAATAAAATGTGGGGAATTTTATGTACCTTTTTGGTCTCAGTAACCCTCACATCCCCGTTAGAGGCAAATACCAACAATTTCAATTACTAACACCACTAATTAACATTTCTTTTATCAATTTTTTTTTCTTTTTTTGATCACCGAGGATGTCTAATTCAGTTTATACGCACTTCAATTAATCCTCTAGAGTCTTAGAACTATCGACCGGGTAAGAGTTTCAATAACCACCCTTATTATTGTTTGAGGAAACTCGAACAAGAGTTCATGAAACCTTCTTCTGTTCTTTTCCCATCAGCTCACTCAGATTCTCGTTATAATGACAATGACAATGACAAATACCATATATCATAACTCATTAACTATTTATGTCAAGTATGGATTCAATATTAGGAGCCATGTTCTGTTGCATTCAATAAGCTTAACTTAATGCCTATATATACCCAAAACGTCTCTGGATACCTAACCAATAAATTAATTTACAATATGCAAAGTTAGTTTTTAAAATGGAAACAAAATATCATCAAACTTTTGCAATGGAGGGACAAATGAAAGTTATAAATTATTCAATTAAGAAATATTTAATGATAATTTATTGTTAATTTTAATAGAAAATAATAAAGACTCCGTTTGTTTTGTTATTCCTATCTATATTTTCAATCATATTTTCAAAATACTTGTTTGTTTTATTATTTGTGAAATACTATTCTACTTTTTAATAACTTTTAAACCCCTTAAGTTTATTAATTTAATTAAACACCCCTTAGAAAAAAAGTTTAAAAATTAACAAAAACACTCCCACCCACCCATAGTTGCCAGATTTCAAAATCTGTCACAATGGCGTAGAAACGACTGAAAATGGTTGGTAATTCACCGATCTGTGACTGTCAAAGAAATGGCCGTCGTTGACGGTCAATGACGGCCAAATCTTGGCTATCGTTGACTGTCAACGACGGCCATATCTTTGGCCGTCGCTGACAGCCAAATCTAACCTTTTACGATCGTCAAAGGCTAGATCTGGCCATAGATCTGGCCTTTTTTGGCCAAATCAGTGGTGGATCTGGTCGAAAAAGCCATATCGATGCACGACCGGCCAAATCCGACTAGTCTATGTTGTAACACTAATTTTTGGCTAGATTCCGGCGATGGTGGTTGGAATCTGGCACTGTGGGTGGATGGGGATATTTTTGTTATTTTACAAAATTTTTATATATTGGGGTGTTTAGTTAAATCAGCAAACCTAAGGGATTTTTTTGTGAATTTTTTAATTTTATCTCGTAATACTCACCCTATTCAACTACCTAATATTATTCTCAAAATCCTATCCAAAATAACAAAACAAACTATTTAGATGCTTTTGATTTTTATTAATGTGAATTTAGCTCTTAAATTCTAAAATGAAATAAAAATAAAAAAACTAAGAAAGCCCAAAATCAAAATTTTAAAGGAAATATACGAAAAATAAAAGAAATTTAGTAAAATAAAGAAACCTAAATAATTTTTTTATTTTTTGTATTTGTATTTGTATTAAAGTGATTTTGATGTATTTGGTTTCCTAGTGTGGTCCGGAACTCTTGTACTCTTGTTGAGTCTTTCCTTTTGGGGACTCATTCTTTAATTCTTTATTAGATTACCTTTTATCAAAAAAAAAAAAAAAAAAAAGAGTTTGAATTATACCTAAAATATGCATGTTCCTTTGATATCCAAAGACTTATATAATTACACTTTTATCCTAAATTAGGTAATATTCTCAATCTATCCTAACAATCTATTTTCCATTCAGTCTTTAGTTAAGTAAAGTCACGAAACTCAACTCTTCACCCCCTCAATTTTAGAAACTAACGATATCACCCCTCTCTAAAGATGAAAAATTAAGGGTAATATTGTCATTTTCTGAAATATAAGTCCTCGTAGGGACACACATCTATCTCCATGGTGGTCCTTAATTTTAAGGAAGGACAATATCCACGTCATCAAATCAAAGGCGATCATTATCCCCACAAGGCAAGTTGTGATTGGTGACTCCAGATATTCCCAAAAAAACCTCTTGGTAACTCACTGATCCTCAAATATTAAACTCCAAATGTGGGCCCCACATCCTTATCTCCCAGCCGCTCGATCCCATCCCAGTGATTTAAGAATTCGAACAACCATCGCTTCTCCTATCGTCAAACTCTGTTCAATGCAGAAGACCACTGACCACCAACACAAACTCCGGCACTTCGGTCTGAACCTCGACACTCGCTGTACCGAATTGAACTAACACGACAGCGCATGGAGATTCCCCTCCCGGTGGCTTCGTTGACTGCCGGTCGTGCGACGTCTTCGTCGTTCAGAAGTGGGTTGTGTTGTGAAGTTTGGGTGAGAAAGAAGGGTGGTCAAAGTCAAAGCCAAAGCCAAGTGCGATGTGTAAAGGCGTCTGCGGAGAGAAGTGGTAGTGGTGACATAAAGCAGGGAGATGGTAGGAGTAGTAATAATGGTGGTGGCGGTGGTGGTGGTGGTGGGAGAGGAGGGGTCACGGGAAGTGTGATGGAGGTGACCACATTTGATCGAGGCGGGTTTGGTGAAGCTACAGCGTCTGAGTTTGCCGTTTGGGATAAGATTGGCGCTGTTGTTAGACTCAGCTATGGAATCGGTTTGTTTCGTTTCAATGCCATGCAGCCTTTTAGTTATATTGTCAAGTTTATTTCTACTTTTAAAAGCATTAATTAGCTTTTGTGATGATACTAAAAGGGCTTCTATAAAGTAGTTGCTTCTTATAACTGCTCATGGAATAACTCAGTTATGCTTTTTTGGGTGTTTTCTTTATCTTCTTTATATGTTGAATGTTTTTTTTACTTCTGTTTTTAGCTTTAGCTTTTGATTTATGTGGATTGGATTTGGAATAGCTATTGATTTATGTTATTGTGAATGTCTGGAATTTCTTAAATGAGTTAAAACGAGATGAAAAACATAAATAAGGGCCTGTTGCATATTTAAATGGACAAACGAGAAGTTTTATGAAAACGTTTTTTATTTGGTTCAAATGAGTTGAAAGGTTTTCAAATACAATTTTTGGATATAATCCTAAAAAAGTTGTTAAAAAAAAAACCAAAGTGTTGTCTCGGAGTTTCTGTAGTTTTTAACTCTGAAAATGGTTTTTCTTTTCAATATTATATAATCTTTTTTTTCTTTCCAATTTTTTAAAATATTGAAATACAATTCGGACGCTTTTGTATCTTAGTTTTCTTTTATAAAATTTTGGGATCAGAAATCAATGGTATTCTGATTATCTTTTTGTGGGGTTGTGGAGTCAGGTATATACGGGGCAATGGCGCTAGCTGGAAGGTTCATATGCTCAATCACTGGAATTGATAGCATGGGAGGTTTTCATCCGTCTTTAGATGCCATTCTTGAAGGACTTGGATATGCAGCTCCACCAATAATGGCTCTTCTATTTATACTAGATGTATGTTCATTTGAACATAGATTTTGATTAAAGTTTTTTATTTGCTTAGTGTGACTTACTGAATTTTGTCCATTATCTGTTATGTTCAAGTCTTTTGTTGAAAGAACATGTAAAATTTTGGAGTTTATTTTTCCTGAATTACTGGAGTCTGGTATTTTGATGCTCAGAAGAAGTTATAAAGTTTTCTTCTTCTACTTCTTAAAATATTGGGCATAGACAATGTTTGATTGCATCTTTGGCGGAAAGAATACTGAAATATCTGAAATGGAGCCTTCTTAGCATTTTTTGAGGGTTCAGATTTCAGAGGAAGGGTTTTCTTTGCTATAAGTTTTCAAATTACTGATCAAACTTATATGTTTGCAGGATGAAGTCGTGAAACTATCACCTCATGCTCGTGCCATTAGAGATGTGGAGGATGAGGAGCTTCGGAGCTTCTTTTATGGAATGTCACCTTGGCAGGTATATCTTCTTTAGTTTCACAATGCTTATACTTGTTAATATTGTCTATCTCTCATAGAACCAAAAAGAACTGATATAACTGTAATTCAAATTTGCAGTTTATACTAATGGTTGCTGCGAGCTCTGTGGGAGAAGAGCTTTTCTACCGGGCTGCTGTTCAGGTCTGTTGTCAGGAAGAGCGTTCTTTTTTTTTTTTTAATATAGAATAAAGATATCATAGGACTTCTAGATCATAAATTTAGATGTTTGAATTTAGATATCATACTTATTGACTTGTTTGTTATCAGTTATTATAGCAGAGTTATAGCAACATCATATTTTTCTCAAGTGCTACAATAATTTTAAGTTTCATGTTATCCGAAATGTGTTCTTAGGGTCTTTCATTCAGCAAAGGACATTCCAATTATCTCTTCTCAAAATCCATGAATGTTAATTTCTAATATACTGTTTTTTGATGGAACTACTGGATCATGACCTTTCCCTTTTTCGGTGTTGATACAGGGAGCATTGGCTGATATATTCCTAAGAGGCACTGATTTGGTCGCGGATGCTAGAGGAATGGCTTCTCTGGTATATGATTTCATTCTATTATTTTGTTAATTGTTGTTTTCATTAATTAGAATTTTCTTGCAACTGAATTTTGCCATATTTCTTCAAAATATAGACTGGCGTGCTGCCTCCCTTTGTCCCATTTGCTCAGGCATTTGCAGCTGTAATAACAGCTGCTCTGACTGGTTCTCTCTATTATGTAGCCACCTCTCCCAAAGGTAGATTCTCTCACCATCCTTTTGAGGAATGTTTGTTATTTCTATGTTAAGATCATTATTGACTTATAAAGTTGCTTAAATTCTTTCAGATCCTACATACATAGTAGCTCCAGTTTTACGATCTCACTCTGGTCGTGAAGATTTGAAAAAGCTGTTTGCAGGTTCCATCTCTTTCCCTTACATGTTCATCATTTTTCAGCAATTTCTTCCGCTTCCAGGGCACAAATATGTCTTATCTTTTGTAACAAAGTGTTGCTGGGTAAAAATGCCTTAGAGATTGCTTCGGTTTCTCGTAACTATCATTTTGTTGATCATTATGATGATTCGCTTACATGTAGCCACAACTCATACTAAGACTTGACATTGGCATAATTTAACTGTTACCTATTTCCTCTTTGAAACATAAGTATATACATTCTGACTGAAGATTTGGGAACTATTGGACAAATGTAGAAGTTCAAATCTGATTATTTTAAGAAATCACTTTGTGTCTTGTGTAAAGGATATCTGTTTTCATATACAAAATATCTAGTCTGCGGTTATAATTGATTAATACTCTGTGGTTATATTTAGTATCCAATATTCATGTCCTCATCCTTTCCTGGTGACTTTTTCAGCCTGGTACGAGAGGAGACAAATGAAAAAGATTTACTCACCTCTCTTGGAAGGATTATTGGCCCTGTACCTTGGTTTCGAATGGATTCAGGTGATTCATGAGCTTATTTTGTTGTTGAACTGCTTACCAATCTAGTTCACGAGAATGATACTGAAATTATTTATTTCTTACATTTACAGACAAATAATATTCTTGCTCCGATTATTACGCATGGTATATACTCTGCGGTAATACTAGGACATGGCCTTTGGAAGATACATGATCACCGGAGAAGACTGCATCAGAGAATACAACAGCTTGAATCAGAAGTAAAAGACTCGAATAAATTATGAAGAAGCTGTTAAAAAAAGGTGCGAGGAAATCTGTACATTACTACTAGAGCTGGTCATTTATAATGGCAAATACATCAGATGTATAAACGAACAGTATATAAGCTGAAGAAAGTTTTAGTGTCAACCCATAATAATACTAGTTGTAGATGATAAGCTTGTACTTATACGTTACTGTCTGAGTGCAATTTTGTTCATCTTTAAATTGTTGCCCTAGTTGTGGTCTTGAATTTTTTGCAACTGTTAAATAAATGTCATTATGCAATCAGCTAACAGAGCCCAGGATAAGGATACAGGAGGAGTCAATGAGCCTGGAGAGAGAGGGGGTATTTATGATTTCTGGGAATTGTTGGATTTTTGTGTGACAAAGAGAAACTTAAGGGTTCTCATTAATTTTCTTTAAAGAAATATTTAATCTTAATTCTTCTTGATAAATAAAAACATGGTAGGTTGACTAATTAACTTATTAAAATGATGATTATGAGATTTAATTCGTAGCTAATCTTGTTTTATATATTCAATCCTCCATCAAATCACATGAGGTTATCATTCACCAATTTCATGCCTTGGGAAAAAAGAAAAACGAAAAAAATGTTTGAAACAAAGAAAATGTTGAAAAAACATTTTCTAAATTTGCATTGTCTATTTTATCACAACATTTCAAATCAATAAAAATAAATAACTATTTTTAAATATTTTATTTTCTAATACTATAGTCAAGACCTCTTTACAATAATACTCTATATAAAAATAACCTTCAATAATACTCTGTATAAAAATAACCTTCATATAATCATAAAAAATTATGATAAAAACTTAATCAGTTATAGATAAGAATAAACTTTATATTATAATAAGTTATAATTTTTATAGGTCTCATCTTAAGGAACTTGTCTCCTCATAGTTATAATTATCTATATATTGCAAAAAAAAAAAAAAAAAAAAAAAAAAAAGTAAGAAAGTTATGTTACATTAAGGGTTTAAGATGAAATATAATATTTATTTAAAATTGTTTGAGACAATGATGTATGTTTTAGAGTTGTTATCATATCTTTGAACTTGCGGGTATGTAATCTCACCGGCATTGATACCTTTTTGTTAAAGCCAAAATATTTCTAGATTCTCAAGTATGTTTAGAGCTTCTTGGTATCAATTATTTTGGATTTTCGTACTATCATCCTCGAGATTATTTCCTTGTCTAATTCCAACAATGATTTCTTCTTACACGAGTTATTACTCATTTGGATGACTGAAGAAGACATTAATATTCATTCGGTAAGTGTAATATATTAATGTAGTGCATAATTTATCTTTATACCACTTTCACTAAGTATAACTAAGTCAAAGTAATAATTTTTGTAACTACACCCTACTCGTAGTAATAAAATTAATTAAATTCATAAATTTAAAAAAAAATTCCTTATTTTTATTTAGAAACAAAGGTATCAAATATAATAGTCAAAACGGATTTAGTTTCCAAAATTGAATCAAGATCTTCTCCCAACTTGAACCTTACTCAAGGATTTGAATTTAGACTTAACTTGGGCTTAGAGGTGGAAAATTTGGGCCGGGTTAGGCGGGTCAACCCTAACCCGGCCCGGGAAAATGAGGGTTAAGCCCGGACCGCCAAGTTGGCGGTCCGGGTTGACCCTAACCCGGTAGCAACCCCCGGGCGGGCCGGGTTGCACAATGGCAACCCGCAACCCGGCGGGTTGCTATTTTGTCTCTTTTGCAAGAGACCCGGCAACCCGCCGGGTTGGTTGTGTGCAACCCGNCATGATTATATTAAACCTGCTCAGGTGCATTGTAACCAGAAGGTGGAGGGAAGGCGTCAATCGGCATGTCCACAGAGGCTTCAGGCTTCCTAACATAGTCACTAGTGACACCTCCATTGCATATCCCAGCAATGTTTAGCAGTAGAATTAAAAGGATTACCATACTCACTGCGCCACCCATATTAATGTGTTCACGATACAATTGTATGTTTCAACCTGAGAGCTGAAGTATTTATTTATACTTCTCAGGTGTTCAGTTCCGATACGAATGGATACAGAGGCGAGGATTTCTCTTAATTTGGCCTAAGATTCGCATATTCCAGGTGATTATTTTATCCTCAGTTGTGTTACACTTTAAAAGGAAAGAGTTTTGACTTGGTTGCACTTTGTGCGGTGAACTGACTCCTGAAGTATCATTTATGCTGCATTAGGTTCGCTGCACTCGAACCGACGTGTACTAAAAAGTTTATTTTAAGATTTAAAGTTCAGAAAATATGCTCCAATATATGAGGCTCTTATGATCCATTTAAGTTGACTTCTGATAATTTCCTCTTTACACGGTGCTCAAACATCTTTAACCTGTTTTAACGCATTAAACAACTTTAATACCCATAATAAATCGCTTTAATATCCAATTGTTCACTTTAGAACCTTTAAAAGATTAGTTAAAATATACGTAAATTGATTCAGATACTTCTAATCAACCAAAAAAAATCTTCAATACCCGATTGTTCACTTTAGAGTTTCAAGAGATTAGAGGATCTTCAAATGACTCTTTATATAATTCAAACTCTCTATTATAAAGAGTTTATCTATAGAAACAATAATCCAACATACTCTTTATTTTTTAAATATACTCTTTATTTTTAAAATATAAATTAAAGAGTGAGTTTGACTCTCCACATTTAGAACATCTCTAAAAAACTCTTTATATGACTCGAACTCTTTATTATAAAGAGTTTATCCATAGAAACAAGAGTTCAATGAACTCTTTATTCTTTAAATATAAATTAAAGAGTGAATTTGATTCTCTACGTTTAGAGAGTTAAATTTCACTCTCTATAATAATTTTAAATAATAAATTACAAGTTTTCATGTATTTTATTTATGATTTATCTTACTTATTAAGTTTTTTTCTTGAAAAAACATATTCTCTCTCCTAAAATTTAAAAAGTCTATTAGATTTGAATCAAAATTTTATTTTTGGTATTTAAAAATCAATAAAGAACATATTTATATGAAAAATGTTTTTTAAAATAAAGAGCATCATCGGAGATGCTCTTAAAGAGTCAACTTTTACTCTCTATCATAATTTTAAAAATAAATTGTAAGTTTTAATACATTTTATTTATAATTTATCTCTCCTATTAAGTTTTTTTTGTGATCCCCGATCAACAGGAAATAAAAAAAATAAAAAAAAAATTAATACCCACTTGATAACCAAAAGATAAAGTCTAGATCAGAATTTTAAATTAAAAAAAATAAAGACTTATATTTTCTCTGTGGATATGGAGAAAGATTAAGAGAACAATTTTAAATTAAGATGGAAGTTATCGCTATCAAAGATAATATTTCTGAATTGACATCAACCAATGAATCACATACAAGAAAGAAAAAAAAAAAGTATAACCAAACATCAGCTAATCCAGGACCAGCACAGACAAAATCTCAAACAGGGTTACATTAACCGCTCACCAAACAAATCAAGAAATATCAAATGGATAAACGAATTCGTTTACAGTCAGTCAATCTAGCATTTGGATCAACTCGTGGCTTTCATCTTCTTCCCATTACGAATTGAAGGTATTCTCTGATTCCTCTCGCTATTATTATTTCATGTTTGCATCTTCCATCAAGTTCGCTTGATGTGTATAAAATATAATTAATGTATAATCTGATATTCTAATGTCACTTCTAGTTTCGGGGATTAGATCTAAGCTTGGCCAAGAAATGTTACTGTACGAATTGGCGTGATAAATATAGAGGACGCTTCAAATTTGGATTTAATTTATGTAGCCTTTCGATTTAGGTGGGATTTGACAAGTATATTATGATAAACGGGAAATGAGAGTGGATTGATTTTTTGTTTTTAGGTTTTTTCCTGAGATGATGGTAAGATTTATGAACTAGTGTGGGATGCTACATTTGCACATTTTGTCTTTGATGATTATTAGGGCAATGGATAAATTATTCTGAACTATTTCATTGTGGGATGGTAACTTTTGTTTTTAAAGTTCATTGGTATATCTTATGAGAATCTATCCTTTAACACTGCTAAACTTGCAAGCTTAGTTATATTTTTTCCATAGTGGGGTTGAGAATTCACTGAAGGTAAACTGTGTGATAGTTTTGAACAACGAGTTTTGGAGAAAGTGGTGTTGAATCATGTAAGATAATCAAATAACTTAGTTGTTGAATTTCATATAGTTGTGTTGCACAAGAAGACTGGGATGGGAAATTTTGTTTTAAATGGGGAGGATTAGGTATAAGGGTGGAAAAGAAAAAGAAAAAACATGATGGAATTTTTTCAGTGTGATAAATGTGTCTTTAACCCAACAATCTTTTTCCTGGGTAAGTCCCTAGTTGTTGAACTTTGGTGCATACTGTAGTGAGGCTGAGGTTTTCTTGCTATCAGAAAAAAGGGAAAAGAAAATGATAGCATTTTTTCTTGGTAGTTTAAGTTCATTTTAAGCATGTTATTTTGAAGAGAATCTCATGTGTTTGGTTCATTTGGGATTGCAGAACTTTGCAATGGAAGGTAATCCAGACCCGAGCACCGCATGATGATTGAAGAAAGTTACCAACAAAGTATGCAAATTGATCCAGTAGAGCACGATTTCCATGCTGCATCGTTTGGTCACCCCTTCCTGTCATTTCCTGGCTGATTCTTCATTGGCCATACTGGCATTGCAGAGAGGATGGGGTGATCCTGGACTGTCAGGGCCTAACTTTGTGTGTGTAGACAGTTTTCGTTTGGGGCAGCTACTCGATACATCCAGGTGAAAACGGAACAGGTAATTTCAAGTTCTCAATGAAGCTAATGTTCGGCTGCTTCAAAATATATATTTGAAATTGTTGCTGACAGTATTGAGCATGCCATCAGACCGGGGATAACTTTATTAATTTATGATGCCCTACTTTTCGGTGATTGTTTGCGGAACCTCTTTCGCGGTTTATGTGGTGTGCTGCACTTCAATTAGACAAGCTGCTGATTTGAAATTATAAAAACATAATTAGCTGCATTTTGCTGTACATGTTTTTTAGTTGTTGACTTCTCCTCTGAGTGATTTTTTTTAATTTGCTAGCAGTGTTGTATTTCTCCCTATCTGTCTGCATTGAATGGTGTGATCAATACCAGCCCAATGAATCAGGAAGAGACACATTGACTTGGGATGATGCACTACGAAAGAGTACACAGGAGTTCCAACACCGATCATACGATCTTTTTACT